AGAGTAGATAAAGAAGAAGAAGATCAATCAGTGATTTGGAAGATAAGGAAGTAGAAAACACCCAGTCAGAACAACAAAAAAGAAAAAAGAATAAAATAAGGATAGTGTAAGAAGCCTCTGGGACAACTTCAAGCATCATTGGGGTGCCAGAGAAGAAGAGAGAGAGCAAGAAATTGAAACCTGTTTGAAATAATAATGATGGAAAACTTCCCTAACCTGGAGAAGGAAACAGACATACAAGTCCAGGAAGCACAGAATGTCCCAAACAAGATAAACCCAAAGGGGCCTACCAGAATTAAAATGTCAAAATTTAAAGACAAAAAGAGATTCTTAAAAGTAGCAAGAGAAAAATCAGTTAGCTCCCTACAAGAAAGCTCCCATAAGACTGTCAGTTGATTTCTCAACAGAAACTTTGCAGGCCAGAGAATGTGGCACAAAATATTCAGAGTATGAAAAGCAAGGACTTATAGCCAAGTTCACTCCACCCAACAAAGCTATCATTTAGAGCCAAAGGACAGATAAAGAGCTTTCCAGACAAGAAAAAGCTAATGAAGTTTATTACCACTAAACCAGTATTACAAGAAATGTTAAAGGGTCTTTTTTAAGAAAAGAAGAAAAAAATATATAGAAATATGAATAATAAAATGGCAATAAATACATATCTAGCAACAATTACTTTAAATACAAATGGATTAAATACTTTAGTCAAAGGCCTGGTGGCTGAATGTATAACCAAACAAGACTCTTACATATGCTATCTACAAGAGACTGACTTCAGATCAAAAGATACACAGACTGAACGTAAAGGGACAGAAAAAGATATTTCATGAAAATGGAAATGAAAAAGAAAAGCTGGGATAGCAATGTTATATCAGAAAAAACAGATTTTAAAACAAAGGCTATAATGAGACAAAAAAGGACAGCAATTCCACTTCTGGGTATTTATCAGAAGAAACCCAAAATAGTAAATTGAAAAGACATACGCATCCATATGTTCATTGCAGTATTATTTACAATAGCCAAGATATGGAGACAACCTAAGTGTCCATCAATAGGTAAATGTGTAAAGAAGTGGTGTATGTATACAATAAAATATGACCCACACATTAAAAAAAGAAAAAAAAAAAAGAAATCTTGCCATCTGCAACAACATGAATAGACCTAGAGGATATTGTGCTGAGTGACATAAATCAGAGAGAGAAAGACAAATGCCATATAATTTTACTTATATGTGGAATCTAAAGAACAAAAGAAAGAATGAAACATACCAGAAACAGACTCATACACAGAGAACATTTTGACAGTTGCTAGATGGGAGGGGGGTTGGAGGATGGGTAAAAACAGAAAATGGATTAAGAAGCACAAATTGGCTGTTACATAGAATAATCATGGGGATGTAAAGTATAGCGTAGGGAATATAATCAATAATATTGTAATAACTATGTATGGTGTCAGATAGGTACTAGATTTGTCAGGGTGATCATTTCATAAATTATATAAATGTCTCATCACTGGGTTGTATACTTGAAACTAATATAATATTGCATGTCAACTATAATTGAAAAATAAAAAATTATTTTAAAAAGTAAATCCACATGTAAAGTCTAATGTTTGCCATGTCTTGAGACCTCAGCCTGAATAATGTATAATGTAAAAATCATACCCTTAGGCACAATTGTGACCTTTGTCTGTCCCTGACCCCCAGGCACTCAGAGGTTGAGGAACTGCTAATTTGGAATTCAGTTCAAGAAATGTCTGGCTCCTGAATTATCTCTTCCTCTTCTGCTTTAGTGTTTACCACCATTTCCTTCTCTCTGAAACAGTAGCAGCTTAAAACCGGGACCCACTGGTGAACTGACCTAGCTCCCCAATAGCCTTCTTGACCCGTGGGTTGTGTAAGCCTCCACACAGTTTGTAGGAGTTGGGTAAGTACATGCTGTAAGAGGGAGACACTGGACTTCTTGCTAAGATGGGCAGGTGAATTCTTGAGGAATTAATTGGAAAATTAAAAAAGATGCAATTGCTGCTCTGGCCGGTTTGTCTCAGCGGTTAGAGCATCGGCCTGTGGACCAGAGAGTCCCGGGTTTGATTCTTGCTAAGGGCATATACCTTGGTTACGGTTCGTGGCAACCAATCAATGTATCTCTCTCACACCGATGTTTCTCTCTCTCTTTTCTTCCCTCTCTCCCTCCCCATCTATCTGAAGGTAAATGCAAAAATGTCCTTGGGTGAGGATTAAAAAATAAAAAAGAGATGCAATTGCATTTTTAGCTCAAGCTATTAAAACAGGTCCTATGTAATTGTGCGCTGAGTATATTGAAAGGAGAAGTAGAGCTAGGCGAGCACCTGACAAGGGGATTTAATGCAATGGTTGTGGTGAGGGGGTAGATTCAGAGGAGGCTTGATGAAGTGACAGCTTAGCTGAGATTTAATAGATGACACCAACTCAGGTAGACAAGGAAAAAGAAAGTATTATTAAGAAGAGAAAATTCTATATGAGAAAACTCAGATTTGAAAGAGGGGGATGTCTCTGAAGACTAGAAAATCCTGTGTGGCTAAAGCTGGCGTACAAAGGTGACAGAGATGCAGTATACAGCTGGAGACATGAGTACACCTCCCAGTGAGCAATAGGAAGCCATGGAGGACATCTGAACTGAGGAGACATCATAGAGTTGAGAATTTAAAAGCCCATGCTAGCTAAAAGTGAAAATCGATCCTATTGGAAATGGGAGGAGTGGATGCAGGGAGAAGAGTTAGGAGGTAGTAGCAGTGAGATTGGGTTCATCAGCTGTAAAACGTTCATTCCCACGTCGCTTCCCATCTTACAGAGAGAAAAACCATATCAAAGAAGTAAGGTGATTTGTGCAAGACCACAGAACCAATAAATGACAGCACCAGGTGTGCACCTAACCTTCTGACCCTGGTTTGAAGCTCTATGCACAGTGCCAGCTGCTCTCAAACTTTTTCCGTGACGTGAGTTTGTGCGCATGGCCATCGTGTTTCCACATTTGTATCTGTTTCTCCTGTGTAGGAAAAGCAGATCCGAGTGCACGTGAGCTAGAGGGGGTTAGTGTACAGGCAACCATGCTGTCACTCTGCTTCATTCAAAACCAAAAAGGAATCGTTTGCAAATGTATTCCAGCTTTTATTAGTGACAAATCTCTCCACTGCAGTTGGTACCTGAGCCTTGCACCCAGGAGCTACTGACATCCTCACTGACCCTTGAGATGAGGAATGAGGGGAGAATTTTTTTTCTGCTCTACCTTTGAGTATAACTCCATTTATTCTTCCAAATGGAGTAGGGACAGAAGGCCCTGCAATTCTTTTCTAAGGTGACAAAAGGGTTCTTAGGCCCAAGGCCTGGAAATTTGGTGTAAAGCTGTTTCTGATAGGTATGCATGAGGGAGGTTAAAAAAAAGAACAGCAGCCCTGGCCGGTTTGGCTCAGCGGTTAGAGCGTCGGCCTGTGGTCCAGAGAGACCCGGGTTCGATTCCCGCTAAGGGCATGTACCTCGGTTGCAGTTTGTCCCCGGCCCTGGTCAGTCATGCGGGTGGCAGCCACTCGATGTGTTCCTTTCACGTCGATGTTTCTCTCTCTCTCTCTGTTCCTCTCTCTCCCTCCCACTCTACCTGAACAAAAAATGGAAAAAAAAAAAGAACAGCAGAAGATAAGATTCTAGTGGGTTGCATCTGCTGCAACTCTCTGAGGTCACAGGTTTGTGGAAGTGGTTCTGTTGAGCCCAAGCTCTGTCCGACAAAACCTTATGAGTCCTCCTTCATGGTGAGGTGTCTTCCCCTCCACTTCTATCAGCCTTATCTCTTTCTTTTTTCTTTCTCTCTTCTTCCTCCTTTCCTCCCTCCCTTTCCCCCTGCCTCTTTTGACAATAAATGTAGTTGCTTGGATTCTACAGTGGAGGCTTTTGTGGATATTACCCACGCTATTGCATACATTGGGCAATGGGCAAATACAGGGTATGAGAGTATTTTCTGGCAGATGAGAATATAGAAGTTAGACTGTAAATGCAGGAAAACAACTACCTCAAAGCCCTCCACTCCTCAAATAGTGACCACCCCAAATTCCTATTGAGTACTCCAAGATATTATTTCTTTTTCTTTTTGTTTAATTTTCCCCCTTTATTGATTTTAGAGAGAGAGAGATGACATCGATGAAAGAGAACATCTATTGGCTGCCTCCTGCATGCCCTTTACTGGGGATTTGGCCCATAACCCAGGCATGTGTGAACTGGCAACCACTTGGTGCGTGGGATGATGCTCAGCCACTGAGCCACACTGGCCGGGCTCATTTCTTTTTCTACAGACAGGCCGTGTGTAGATCTTGGGAGGAGCTCACTGGGTGCAGACAAAGGGTCAGTTTAGAAAAGCACCAGATGGGTCTGCAGATATATAGGCCAAGGCTCAAAGGCTGCAGGTGTGTTCTGTCCCAGCGGGCACAATAGGAGCGGAGAGCTGCTGAAAGACCTCGGGGCACCACCAAACAGGTGCTTTCCCCACTCCCAAATGGCCTCACACACTTTTCTCCTTTTCTTACCCAACCAGGAGATTCAGATGCCTGGGTGGAGGGGTAGGGCTCAGCCCAGCTCCTATCCAGAATGAGGAAAACAGAGATGAGAACTGAAGGAATCGTCAGAAAGGATCCTGGCAGCCTCCCACCAGTGAACTCTGACCACAAGCTGTCCACCGTTGCCAAAATAACACCAACTTCACAGGGCTGATGACACTTCTTGGCACAAAGAACAAAGCAAACAATCTCAGCCCCAGGAACAAAACATTCTGTAAAAATACTCAGTATAAGGGTTTTAGCTCACTCAAGACTAGAACCATTTTCTTTGGGGGGAAAAAATTATCAGGATGAACCCAATGCAATTCATAAGCCTTGAGTGGGTTTAGTGGGAAGCCAGGAAGTGGTTGGCCAGCCATGCAAAGCAGAGCCTCACATGGAGACACCCGTTCACATGGTTACTGTGAATAAAAGTCACTTACCTTTCCTTGAGTAAAGCTTTTGGCAGAATTGTTTTCTGAGGCTTATCATCACAACCATGACTAGTAAAGCAATGATGAAGAAAGGGATGATAATATGCAGCAGCAATGTTGGCGGGACCTTGGGTTCCATCTCACCTGGTGAAAGAAAAGCACCAGAATCGATCACATGGTAGCTTAGAGATAAACCAGCAAGCTGGCCTTCTGAGTGGGTATCGCCAACGTGGCCAACTTGCACTGAGCATTTACTTCATGCTGGGTTCTGTTCTATGTGTGCTGAGTGGATTAGCTCAATTACTGCTTCCAACCACCCTATGAGGCAGGCTCTACTATGACCCCCATTTTACTGGTAAAGAAAGTGAGGCCTAGGAAACTTTCTCCAAGTTATACTATAAGTAACAGAGTTGAGATATAATCCAGATTGCCTGGTTCCAGATTCCATGTTTTGCATCATTCTGACACATCTATCATTTCCTTCCTTCCTTCCTTCCTCCCTTCCTTCCTTCCTTCCTTCCTTCCTTCCTTCCTTCCTTCCTTCCTTCCTTCCTCCCTCCCTCCCTCTCTCTACCTACATATCATCATCATCATCTCTCTTTTTCTTTCCAATAGGGTAGTCTCTCTGCCCAAAACTGTCTCCCCACTCCTCTGTCAAGCACTCACAGTGCTTAGAATCTATATCATTAGTTATTCAATTTCAATGAGTCACAGGATCCTTTTGAAAAATAAAATATTGTAGGTGGTGTGAATATAAAAAATGCGGTCATTGTGAATTACAATAACTAGCCCTTTTCCTTGTCACAGCTAATCAAAGTCCTGGCACTGAGGAAAAGATGAGTTTAGTAGAGCAGTCGATAAGAAGAGTAATTTGGGAGGCTGGGGAAAACCTTGGAAAGGAGAGCTCTGGCTATGCCAAAGTCAGAGTGAAGGCCCAGACTGACACGGGGAGGTGGCAGGGGAGGCAGAGTAGGCCGTGCCTTTTCTATAAGCCTGAATTTTGCCTCATGGAGTAACTTATACAGAACCAATATAACAGGCTGGCCCTAGAAAAACCTGGCAAAACTGCTCGGGAGGAAAGGTTTAGTCCTGCCTGCCAACTGCCTTCCTTTGCCCCCAACCTAGTGTCTTCTGAGAACCACAGACCGTTTTAGCTGAGGAGGGAGTGGGCATCATTTAATCTGAGCCCTTCATTTTAAAGTCGAAAAAGTAGCTCAAGGTGCTAAATAATCTAAGGCCATCACTACTGCTAAGTAAGTGGCAAAACTAGGATTGCAAACCCAGATTTGTCTGATCCAGAGCTCAGGCCCAACAGAGATTTGTCTCTACCCAAAAGAGTGTGGTGAACACTAAGAGAAAAAGGAGTAAGAAGTCTGGCTCACCTACACATTGGATAAGCCATACTTTAAAAATTTGTTTTAAATTAAGGTATAATTGACATACAATATTATATTCATTTCAGGTGTACAACATAATGATTTGATATGTGTCTATATTGTGAAATGATCACCTCAGTAAGTCTAGTTACCATCCCTCAATGCAAAAGCCATATCAATTACAGTCTGCTCCTTCACTCCTAAAAGTGCTATGTAAGCATTTGCTGTATATAGTATCATGAGTCAAGGAGTCCTGGGAACTTCACTGTCTCCAAAATAGAAAAGTTCCCTATCTCAGTGACTTTATGCAAAACTTGTTCTGTCTAGGTTCCTCAGAGTCCTTTCCACATACAAGATTTTACTCATCCCTGAAGACGTTCTAATGTTGGACATCCAACAGGACAGCAGTCTGCTTAGATTGTAAGTATTTGAAGTGCAAAGACTTTAAGTCACATCTGAATCCCGTATAAAGCCAAGCATCAGCTACACAAATGGTGTCAGTAAGGATTTATTGGACTGAATTGACCATCTACCCACTCCACCTAACCCAAGTTTTCTTGGCATTAGTTACCTTGTGGCAGACTACATTTCTAAATCCCCCCTGTAGTTAGGTGTGGTCAGACAGGTAAATTAGCTTGAGGACAAGAGACTGGGTTTTCTGAGTTTGCACCTTAAAACGTTGAATATGGCCCTGGCCGGTTTGGCCCACAGACCAATGAGTCTCGGGTTCAATTCTGGTCAAGGGCACGTACCTCGGTTGCAGTTAGTTGCTGGCCCTGGTCAGAGTCGTGCAGGAGGCAACCAGTCAATGTGTCTCTTTCACATCGATGTGTCTGTCTGTCTCTTTCTCTCCCTCTCTCTCTCTCTCTCTCTCTCTGTTTCTCCCTCTCTTCTTCCCTCCCACTCTATCTGAAGATAAATAGAAAAATATCCTTGGTAAGGATTGATTGATTGATTGATTGATTTTTTTATCCTTACCTGAGGACTTTTATTTTTATTTTTATTTTTTTGCATTTATCTTCAGATAGAGGAGGAGGGAGAGAGGGAAAGAGAGAGAGAGAAACATTGACGTGAGAGAGACACATCGAGTGGCTGCCACCCACTCGACCCCAACCGGGACTGGGGACAAACTGCAACCGAGGTACATGTCCATACGGGAACCAAACCTGGGACTCTCTGGTTCGTAGGCCAATGCTCTAACCACTGATCCACGCCAGCCAGGGCTCCTTGGATAAGGATTTAAAAAAATATATTGAATATGGCCTGGCTGGTGTGGTTCAGTGGTTAAACATCAACCCATGTACCAAGAGGTTGCAGGTTCAATCCTGGTCAGGACACTTACCCAGGTTGTGGGCCAAATTCCCACTGGGGGGCATGCAGGAGGCAGCCAGTTGATGTTCTCTCTTATTGATGTTTCTATCTCTCTCTCCCTCTCTCTCTAAAATCAACAAAGAAAAAAAAAATAAAACAACATTCAATAAATATGTCTCTTTTTCCTTTCTGAAGGTTGAAACATGGATGTGGAGTGACCCAGCTTTGACAGTTCAACAGAGATAACACCCTGGAGAATGGCAGAACAAGATGGAAAGGACATGGATCACTGAATGACTTTACAGAATAAACTACTTACTTGCTCTGAACCACCTTCTATCTCAGAATATTATATGAGGGAGAAATACACTTTTGTCTTACTTGAGTTGCTATATTTTGAAGTCTCTTTGGCTAAATCCTAATACATATTCTTCTAAATTGTTTTCTAATATTTGTATGCTACTTAACAATAATATGATGCTGTATGGGAAAACTATTTGTTTTATCCTTACCCACAGTCCTATCCACTCGCAAGGAAGCCGTGCCTCTTGTTAAAGGTCCCATATTATTATTATTTTTTCTGTTTCCATCCTTTCTGAGTGCCAAGGACTTTACAAGTATATTTAATTTAATCTTCACAATAACCGTATAGGTAGCTACCATTATTTACCCTCATTGTACAAATGAGACAAGAGACAGTTCTAGGGTGGCTCAAGTTCTCAAAGCGAGTAGGTTGCAGATAGAATTTGAAACTCAAGTCCATCTGACTTCAGAGCCCATGCACTTGACCACTGCCAAAGTCACTGCCAGGCCTCCTAGAAGGGCTTCTCTGCCAGCCCTGTAAGAATCTGGGCTCTAGTCCCACTGTGTTTCCTAATAAAAATACAACTGACTGAGCAGAAGGAACTATTTCAAAAGGAAAATCGTCTCATTGTTCCTTAATTTCTGTCCATTCTAGAGTTGTGGGAGCACCTCCCACACCCAGAATTTCATTGCTGTGTTTGTTTGATTCACTGACTTCTGGATAAGCTTGTGGTAGGTCACAGACATCAGCAGTGAACAATTCAACTTATGAGTATTTCTACAGTCATATGACAACTTAAATGCCTTGAAGAAACAGATGCTAGGAACATGGGAGGATGTGTGACCAGTTATTTTGTTCCTAGTATTTGTACCACAAGCCAGGGCATCTTTTGACTGCTCTGATCTGACTGTCCACATGTCTGGAGGCTGGGGTGATAGGTCTAGGATCATAAAAGACTAAGCCTTCAACTCATTAATCTGACATTTATCTAACAAAGGACAGTTGAGTAAAAAACTGCAGAAAAAAATAAATTCCCCTGGGATTATTTATATTTAAGCCTCTAAAGCTCTAGTGTGAATTGGTTCTAACTCAATTTTCATGAGGTGACATCTGGTGGTCTTAACTGTAATGAAAACCAAGATAAGGATTGAGCACTTATAAGAGAGGAGCACTTTGCTTTTGCTTTATGAGAGCAATTAAAATGCATGGAAAATAAAATAACAATGGAAGAGAAAAAGATAAGTACAGGCACAGGCAAAGAAATGGTACAATTGGTCTCAGAAGGCAAGATGAAAGAAGGTTGCTTGTGTTCTGGAGTTATGAGCTCCCTGGAGAGAGGATGGGCTTGGAGCTGGTGAATAATGATATTGATATTTTATGTGGAAGAAAGTGTCTGAGCAAAGAGGTCATGGAGGTGGGAGAGGGTCAAGCAAGCTCAGAGAGTACGTGGTGAAGAAGGGGAGCTGACTGGACCTGGAGCAGAGGATAGTAGGGTGCATATAAAGCTAGGAAGGATGGGTAAAGCTAGGTTGAGAATTTCTAATTGCACAAAGATTTCTCCATCTCCCTGCTGGTTGCATTCACAACTGATATCCCAGGCTTTGATGCAGACCTATAGGCCCCTCCCACAACTGTTGACTATTCAGTCAGCTCTGTTAGCTCCTAGGGAGAGAGGGGCCACCTTACTTCATTCTTAACTTCTCAAAGCCTCAAAGCTTCCAGAGAAATGATCAGTCTGCCCTTCCACTTCTCTACTAGGAATAAAAAACACTGATGTAATCAATGGTGCAAAGGGCAGATTCCAGTTATTTCCAAATTCATCTTACCCAGGCCTGTATTTCTCTGTGGACATCCTTATATAAGTGTTCTTGTAGAAAAATCACATTTCACCTAAAGTCCTGGCCTACACTTAACCAAGCAGAAAGTCCCACATAACAAAGGACAGTTGAGTAAAAAACTGCAGAAAAAATAAATTCCCCCTGGGATTATTTATATTTAGGCCTCTAAAGCTCTGGTGTGAATTGGTTCTAACTCAATTTTCATGAGGTGACATCTGGTGGTCTTAACTGTAATGAAAACCAAGATAAACATTCTTGAAAAACCAGCTTGCCGAATTCACTATTCTCATCCAAAGTTGACCCTAAAAGTGATGTTTCTGAAGTCTTTATTTCTATCAAGATCCTTAGCATGACTCCTCTCTTTACTTCACTTTACCATAATAATTAGAGAGAAGCTGGGCTATCATTAGTGTTGGAATTGTGCAGTGAAGTGCAGACAGGTGGGGCAGTGGGGAGCTGGGGGCTTGCAAATAATCATGCAGCTGGCTGCCTCTAAGAACAACAGCAGGGAGTTTTGTTTTTCCCCAGAAAAAGAAGCTAGAAAATAATGTGCATCGAGTCACTTCAAAATTCTCAGTCTGGTCTGTTGATTGGTGCCAGTCCATGGTAAAATTTACTTTATTTGAGATGGAGCAGATAATTCTGATGCCCCAAGTCATATTCTCTCTGTCCCACCCGATATCAGCCATGGCTGAATGTGGCGAAATGATGGGTGGTTCTGTGCAGGTCCGGACTCTCTTCCCTCTGACCATCTCGTTTCAAGCATGTGCTGCTTCTGGGCCAGGGCTTTCCCAGTGCTGAAGGCAGGTCCCTTTCACCATTACTTCCAGCGACCCCTTGTAGAATTTTTGCTTCTCGTCTCCACAAATTTTGGGTTTACTGGATTAAAGGTCCAGCTCCCTAGTGGCAAATGCTTCTACCAAGGGATGTTGTACCAAGAAAAATGTTCTACTGTATCTAAAGTTATAGCTACTGCTGCATCAGCTTGAGCTCTACTCGACAATGGACCACAAGCAAAGAAAAGAATTATTATGTTGGTGGAGTAATCAATCTTAATTACCCTGAAGAACTTGAATGCTATTACATAATGGAGGCGAGGAAGACGATGTCTAGAACTCAGGGATCCACCTATTCTGATTCTTGTTACTCCCATGCCCAGTAATAACAATGAAAAGGCAACTGTAACAACCTCAGTCAGCTCAAGGTGAAGCAACTAAGGTTTGGAAGTCTCAATCCCCAGGCAAACAAACTATGGCATGTGAAGTGCTAAGTGATGGAAATGTAGACTGTATGGCGGATGAGATAGATGATAAAGATCAACTGGGATCAATTGCAACAGCAGGAACTGTAGTTTGTTCCACCAACGTTTGCATATGGTATCTTTTGCAGAGTAGCTGCTTCCTTGCTTGAAGTCTCAGAGACAGTGGACTTAATGTAGGGCATGAGTAGACTTGAGCCATGCAAATGTTCGACTGTTGTAGTCCTGCCTCACTTCCTCTCAGCTTCATGACTGATTTTGGACAGACTGGGTATAATCCTGGTTGGGCTTTGACTCATTTCATGGTCAGTGATTTGTGTCAAGTGGATGTTTGCCTTCTGTCCTGGAATGACTCTGCTGCAGATGCTGGGGGAGCTCACTCAGTTCACATGCATGTGTGCTCACAGAGGAAAGCAGTTTATACTCCTGGGACAACTGTCAACCACTGGGAGTAAATGCAGCCCTGAAGTCCTTGGAGTAAACATCTTAGGAGGCCCTCTGTATACTGCTCAGAGAGTCCTTGCATATTTGAGCTCCTGTTGCCCACGTCAACTTTGATAACGTATCCTTATACCTGCTTTTCCTTCTTTCTTCCCAAACCTCTCATTTCTACTCCCTGGGATCACCACCTAAATATTTGCATGCCAACAAGTCCTTATTATAGGTTCTGTTTTGTCTAACAAAGACAAAGTTCAAAAAGTGAAAGATAATGACAACATAGTGAATTTTCTGTAAAGTCAAATTAACCAGAACTAGGGACTGTCTTTTCTTCTGAGACAATATTCTTTATTTGTATGATAGCAGAATAATGGCTCCCCTCAAAGATGTCCATGTTCTGATCCCTAAAACCTTTGAATATGTTGTCCTGCATCGCAAAAGGGTTTTTGCAGATGTAATTATATTAAGGAACTTGAAATGGGAAAGATCCTGAATTACTGAGTTAAGGTAGGAGGGCAGCATCTACTGCAGTCACAAGGGTCCCTAGAAGGTAGAAAAGGGAGGCAAGAGAGTTAAAGAAAGATGTGATGGCAGAAGCAGAGGTCTAGAGAATGCAATTGCTGGCTTTGAAAGTAGAGGATGGGTCCTGCGCCAGGGAATGCAGGTGGCCACTAGGAGCCGGAAAACCCAAGAAAATGAATTCTCCCGTAGAGCCTCTGGTCTCCTCTTGACACTTTGATTCAAGCTTAGTGAAGCCTGTTTCAGACTTCTGACTCCCAGAAGTGTAAACTAATAGATTTGTGTTGTCCTAAGCCCACAACGTGTGTGGTAATTTGTTACAAGAACAACAGGAAACTTAGGCACTTGGTGATAAAATGACCTGTCTCTTATGAAATGATTGTGATACTAGATATTAGTTGCTCTTATTTGGCAAATAAATGTTCTTACTGGGCACATAAAAATGGTCAGGCTTCCAAAATCATTTGAAATTTTGCTAGTGTATGAAGTTCTAAAGTATGAGATTTGGCATAGCCAGCAAAAGCTCTGCGAGATTTTTCAAGGGGCCAGTTTTCCTGTAAAACCTCAAAACCATTTAATTGGTGGCAAAGCCGGCAAAGTGATGATATTCAGCCTACTGGATACTGTCTGTTTCCTTTTCGGATCCATTATCTACACTTCAACACTCTGTTCTGAGCTCTGAGAGGTTGATCTTCATGGACCAAATCAGTGGGCTGTCTCCTTTATTCTCTGACTTCCAGCTGGGTTCAGCCAATGGGAGGAGACCAGAGGTTGCGGTATTTATTCACCCTCTTCCACCCTTTGGCGTTGCTGCAGGTGGCAGCATCCTTCTACTGGAGGCCACGGCGCCCCTTTCCAGGTTTTAGTCACTGCTCCAGTAGTGCTCATTGCTCCCCCATTACTGAAGCCCCAGAGTCTTTCACTATCCTTAGTAGTCTCTCTAAATCCTGATCGCAACTTCATATATAGTCCCTTTGTTACACTCTCCTCAAACTACTCGTTCTGAGTGTGTCATCTATTTCTCGCCTGAAGGTGGGCAGCTCTTACCTTGAAGGTCGAAGATGGCTGAAGTAAGTTCCTTCTCATTAGCATTCCAGAACTCACAGCTGAAGTTTCTGCCAGGGAGTGGTTTTAGGCGCAGAACACTAGTGACCTGGAAGAGGCCGTCAGAGGTCTCCATGTGGCTTGTGTTGGCAGAAACATTGGTGTGTGGCCAGGATACTTCTGCCAGGGGGTAACCTTCAGCCTGGCAGGTGAGCTCTACTTCATCTGTCCCTGGAACCTGAAGGACGCGAGTGTTTATTTTCTTGTAGGGAGCTGGACAACAGAAGGAAAAAAATATATAAGTCTTTCTTTTCTGATTCCCATAGAGCTCTGTACTCAGTGCCATGTGAAGTAAATAAAACCACCAGTATCAGTATTAAATAATAATGGCTTTACTTTAAAAAATAGTTTCCTTTGTCCCAGATATGCTATTTTACACACATTGAATTATTTGGTTCTTACAACAAAAATGGCGTTATAGATATTCCCTGTTTTTGCTGGAGGTAACTAAAGCCAGAGAGGTTGAGTTATTTTGTCGAGAGTCACAGGGCTAATGACTGGTGGAGCCAAAGTTTGCAGGTTGGAAATTTGATTCCAAATCTCAACAGGACTTGATGCCACCATATTCTGTGGATTGCTGTATTACTGTAAATTATTTCACAATTGAGGACTTGAGAAGAGGATGCATGAATAAAATTTCTAGCTAAACCCATATCTTACTTTAGAGTGTTTTTCTAGCATCTTCAGGAGAAACATTTATTTTCACTTCCCCCTTTCTTCTGTTCTGATTAGGAGGAGGAGAAATAAAGACCTAGACTCTGTATAAATAGTAAAAACATGGGTGTATTTATTATTTACTTCTCTCCAACACACACACACACACTTCTGTGCAGTGTATGTTGAGTGAATTACTCAGATATGGCGTCCTGGCCTCTAGACAGGCACAGTGACACCAAGAGCAAGGTCACAGGACAATTGTCCAGTCATCCTGCAGTGGTTCTCAACCTTTCTAATGCCACGACCCTTTAATACAGTTCCTCATGTTGTGGTGACCTCCAACCATAAAATTATTTTTGTTGCTACTTCATAACTGCAATTTTGCTACTCTTATGTCTTAGGCGACCCCTGTGATAGGGTCGTTCGACCCCCAGGGGGAGAACCGCTGTAAGGATAGCTAAAGATAAATAGTGATTAACAACATATGCAGATACCAGGGAGTGTGGAAAGTAACATGCTGAGTTTTGGAGAAGGGAAGAGGAAATGAGCACTAGCTTTTATTAAGTAAAACATATTTCCTAAAGAAATAGAATTTCAATACAATCTTAGAAGTAAACATAGATATATGGCACAAGTGTGATGAAACGGGTTTTTTTCCTTAAAATTTGGGAGGAGTGTCAATGGGCACAGACTTTGAGAAGCAACAGCCATGTGGAAAAAATCAAATATGTATAATTTACTAAGTGTTTCCTAGGTGCTGAGCTTGATGCCCTGTGCTTTCACGTACCATGGAGGAGGGGGAAATGTTCTTGTCCCTCCCCAGTTTCTGTGCCTTGAGCACCTCCCATGTGTCCCTATATTATGAGTTGCTAATTTGACTCATTATAGCCAGACATTCACTGGGTCATGCACAGTTCACTGGAGAGCAGGGTGACTGCACCTTCAAGTGCTGTTGAAAACCTGTGGCCTCTGTTGAAGTTCTGGTGTCCACGCGGTGAAGCATGTTCCGCTGGGCCTGCCGGCCGGCCTGCTTAGCTCAATAAGCTCTGACCTCTTCCCAGTTCACAGTATCCAGCTCTGCTTGTGGCTGGGAAGGTGGGGCAGATTTTCTTATCCATAAGGCTGGATGGATGAGTGACCTTAGGGTCTGATCTGCAAACCTGGACTCTTAGGTTAAGCTCAAGGAACAAGATATAAAAGGTCCCTATTCTAAGTCATGCTCTCCAGTGTAAATTACCAGAGAAGCCCCAGAATTGGGAGAGGGGAACGGGAAAAGTATGTGCTAATTCAGTTATTAATTTGAACAATGGAGTTCATTTCCCATTTGGTGTTGATTCTTGTGTATATAGCTCATTTAGTCCAGAACTTGGAGAGGAGCAGGGGTGTGTGGTTCTAAAAGCTGGCTCCCTCCCCTTAACATACATCGTGCCATTTAAACGACATGAGAACCCTATGCAGAGTTAAAATGCCTATTCCTATTGTGTAAATAAGGAAAGAGCTGGAATCCGGGGTGGATGTGGGGGCTTGAGCTCATGCCCTTCATGGCTCCAGTGTTCTCAGTTCTGCATTGAAATCATCCTCAGAGGATGATTTTCTATGTAATTGCAACTGTCTGGGGATAGAATATAGAAGGGTACGTTTTCCAGGGGAATTTAGGACTACCCAGAGCTAGTACACGAGGAGAATCAGGTTCTGAACCAGTCTACTGGAGGACTTGAACCTGTTAGACTCAACAGTCTCCATGGAGTCAAATACCAGCAATCAGCCATGCATTCTGAATACTCACTTTAACTATCATTGTATGTTATCTACACATTTTTCCCCCTTGGTGGACTGTCCTCTTTTAATCATTTCATCCTACTATATTGTAGGTTATTATTTTTTAAAATCTTTATTGTTGAATGTATTACAGATGTTCCTCATTTTTCCCCCATTAACCCCTTCCTCCCCACTCCCGCCCTCCTCCTGCCTTTTCCCACACTATTGTCCGTGTCCATTGGTTATGCATAAAAGTTCTTTGGTTTATTTCTTCCCACCCCCCAACCCCTTTCCCTTTGAGGTTTGTCAGTCTAGCAATAAATCTGTACTTCTTAATCCCTTCACCTTTTTCACCCATTCCCCCAACCCCCCTCCCATCTGGCAACTAACAAAATGTTCTCTGTATCTATGGAATGTTTCTGTCCTGCCTGTTCATTTTGTTTGTACATTCCATTGTCGATAGATATGTATTCATTTCTGACTGGTCCTTTTTTATGCTCTTGAGGCCCTCACTAAGTTCACTGAGGTTCTCACTAAGTTCACTGAGCATCCTTATAAGCAATGTTTTGAACTCAGCATCTGTTAGGTTGCTTATCTCCATTTCGCTTAGTTCTTTTCTTGGAGTTTTGTTCTGTTCTTTCATTTGGAACCTGTTTCTTTGTCTCTTCATTTTGGCTGCCTCCCTGTGTTTGTTTCTGTGTAGTACTTAACCAGAGGTATGGGGCTATCTGAGACCAGATGCTGCTTGTTGGAAAGAATTTAAGAAAACCTGAAGCAGGATCCAAGACAGGCCAATCCTATGGTTAAACAACTGGCAACAGCTTGGGTGGGCCTGAAAGTTGGGTGGGGCGGGGCCTCAGGAAATCACCAGGGCGGGGCTACCAGTGTGAGCCAGGTTGCTGGAGTCCCAGATATGGCCACTCTCTGCTGCCCCAGGGAAGGGCTCACCAAAGGAACAAAGGCCTCTGACAGCACGTTTGTCCCAGAGAAAGCCCCCTTAGTGCCAATCAGCTCAGTTCTTTCCTGTATGTCTCTGGTGCCCCTCGAGCTGCCTCCCCTCCAAGCTCAGAGGGAGCGAGTCGAATAAGTCCATGCGCGGGCCCTTTAAGGAGCTGCCTGGGGCTCCAGCCACCTCAGCCTCCCTGAGCCTCAGTTCCCGCTGGTTTTTCCAGCCAGAAGTTATGGGGACTTCTCTTCCTGGCCCTGGAACCCTGAGTGGGGTGTCTGGTGTGGGATGGGGACCCCTCAGTCCTCAGGGAGGACCTTCCCATTCGAGGTATCCTCCTGATTTTTATCCGCCACACGTGGGTGTGGGATCAGCCCTCTGCCCCTCCGCCCCTCCTACCAGTCTCCATGTGGCTACTGCTTTAATTCCGTAGTTGTAGGACTTTCATTCAACTTGATTTCAGGTGGTTTTGAATGATGGTTATTCTGTAGTTTAGTTGTAACTTTGATGTGGTTGTGGGAGGACGCAATACCACATTTACCTATGCTGCCATCTTGACCGGAAGTCATATTGTAGGTTATTTCTGAAGTTCTGGGGTCTTCAGGGGAGATGGAGAATAAATAGATTCATAGGAGTAGTGTGTTGTAGGTGAAGGTCTGGCCTGCTCCCATAGGACAGCTTGGGATAAGAAGCTGACCTTCGCCCTGGCCAGTTTGGCTTAGCAGTTAGAATGTCAGTCCGCAGATCAGAGAGTCCCATGTTTGGTTCCCACTAAGGGCACATACCTTGGTTGCAGTTTGTCCCTGTCCCCGGCCCTGGTCGAGGTCGTGTGGGTGGTGGCCACTCGATGTCTGTCTCTCACATCGATGTTTCTCTCTCTCTCTTCCCCCCTCTTTCCCTCCTACTCTACCTGAAGATAAATGCAAAAATGTCCTCAAGTGAGGATATAAAAAAAAAAAAAAAAAAAGCTGAACTTCACGGCCAAGTTGAGATATGATTTCAGAGATAGGAGGGTGAGGAATTGGGAGCTGGGCTGTTAAAGACGTCTCCATAGCCTCTTCTATATTTGGGAAGTGGCAACACACAATGAGGAAGCTGGATTGAGGGCATTGTTCTTAGGAAAAGATGACTAAATTTTAGAATTTTGGAGTGGGAGTGGGCTTAAAATTCAACTATCCCAACTTCCTGCTCAATGAGAAATATCTTCTTTAGCAAATTTGCTAAATAAATACCTTGATGAATGTTTCACATGCACTTGTAAATAATGTATATTCTGTAGTCATCGGGTATAAGTTTTATGTATGTCAGTTAGGTCAAGGTGGCTGTGTTGTTCAACTCTTCTATTTTCTTTTTTGTTTGTTCTATCAGTTATAATAGAAATGAGTTGAAGTCTCCAAATATAATTGTGGATACTTTTATTTCCTTTTTTTTTTTGGTGCATGCCCCTAGTGGGAACTGAAGCCGGGACTCTCTGGTCCACAGGCCAATGCTCCAACCACTGAGCCAAACTGGTCAGGGCTGTGTATTTCTTTTTTAAGCCTGTCAACTTTTTTTATATATATTTTGAAGCTATGTTGTTATATGTACCCACATTTAGGATTGTTATGTCTTCCTGTCAAATTGACTTTTTAAATCATTATGAATTGTCCCTTTTTATTTTCAATAATACTTCTTTTCTAATATTAGTAACTTGCTACATAAATGACTTTTCATTAAGTCCATCTGTGAATGGACGCTCCTACTTCCAGAAGTAGTTATTGCCATAATAAATGATAAAAAGTTAAACTTTCATTGAATAAAATCATCCTTATGCCAAGTCAAATTTTGCCTTATGGTGGCTTCCACCACTAGT